TTACATTTGATAAGGACCCGGTGTTGTCGATACAATGGTCATGTAAAAATATATAATTTCATGAAAATCTGAACTTTTAGTTCTTATTTATTTTCAATATTATTATTAAGAACCTGTATGACAGGTGTCATGTGTTTTCTGAGTCTGGAAGAAGTTTAGAATGGGGGTTTTGTATCGCACTCAGTTTTGGGTACTTTCCTATAGCAGTACACCCATCTATCCATCTTGATAAATTCGGGAATGTAAAAAAATATGTAAGAACCAAACCATTCAGGAGTATTTGTTCTGATCTTGTAAGTAGTTTGATAAAGCTGTTGCAATGTTTTCGGTAACATAATAGTTTCTTCGTTTTCTGTTTGGTCTCTATAATAATTAACATCTAGATATTGTAGATCATCTACTTTTTTCCTATTATGACGAATTGTCTGGCTTAGTGCCGTTTCGGCTAATAGTTTATAGTCGGTCTGATTTTTTATTAACTCTAGTTTTGCAACTTTTTCACGGTCTTTTTCCTCTACAAACACTTTCTGTTAGTGACAACCAAAGTTTTAAAACGTTCTTAATTCTTTAGAACTTCTTCAATATTGCTTTTTGTTGGGATTATATTTTTTTTCCGCAGCAGTAGTTTTATAGAAAGAGCGGTTATGTTTTCAATAGCAGTTTCAAATTGCAACATGAACATGGCTCTTACTGCTTCAATCACATCATCGAAACTTTCTGGTTTTAATGTCGAAAGGATATCGGTTTTAAATTCTAACAAAAATCTTGTACGTTCTCCCAATTTATTGGAGGTGATTCAGACTCCTATTTTTTTGAGGACTGGTATCCGAATTTTTCCAATGGAGTAAATGGATTTCATAAAACTACTTGTATTCTAAAACCATGCAGTACGTGGTAATATTAAATGACGTCATCGCGTCTAGATTGAGGGCGAGAAATGGTGATTTTAAGTTGGATTTTTTCGAATATTTCGAACAGCGTATGTGATAGACGAAAATCGTAAATAAAAAAATTGTAGCCCTTGATACGGCCTATAACAGTGTTTAAACGGATTAGCTATTGTTTGTACGAAAATAAATTTACGGTTAGTAATTTACTCTCTAAGATAACAATTTCCAGGGTCTTTTAAATTTATGTCTATAACTAAAACACCTTGTATATAATCGAAAAAATGCGTGAAACAAAAGTTATAGCGCCGAGTCTCGCACGTATTATGAATGTAAAATTTTTCCGATCGGATGAATGGCTTTGGAGGAAAAGCTGTTTTTCTGGATACCAAAATAACCACAAAAAGAAAATCAAAAATTAAAAAAAAAATACATCGCTCCCAATTTAAAGAGTCTAAATGCGGGTCCTGACTTCAACTTCTTTCCCAAGTCTGAAGTCGGTAGCTGTAAATTTGGAGTACTTATTATGTTTTTTAATATTGCACGGAATATCGCGTACACCCTGTACAATACTTAAAAACCGTAAATACAAAAGTTTAAGCTGTCTATATGGGCTATATCGTCATGTAAGAGAAACTGACATCTAAAACACAGATTTGAAATTATTGCCAGTTTTCAATAATAGGTGGACCCATTTTTCAGTTTTTTGAATTTGCGGCGCACCCTGTATATTTTTGAAAAATTGTCAAGAATAAAAGTTTATGGAGTCGTTTCCTCTGCGTCTTCTGGGTCAAGAATTTTTTCGGTCTTTTTTGTAGACCCTTCCACACACGATCCTTTTTTTTAAACTTCCCGACCCCCCCAGCCCCCCATTTTCAATACTTTTCGTCACGGGGCAAAGCTGCATTTATGTGCCAGATATGAAGTCGATTGCTTCAAATTTTGGACAATTATCGTGTTTCATACCAAGGTCCAAAAAACAGTCGAAAATCGCGAAAAAAAGATGGATACCGGCGTCGGATCAGGTTCATTTCTTACAAGCTTATATGCCTCGTGGAGGGTTAAAAAGGAGGCAAATTTCAATTTTGTGGCTAAAACGATTCGAAAATTATTGAGGAAAAACGAAAAGACGAAAACGGAGAACGGAGAACGGACAGACAAAAAATTTTTTTTTTCGACGGTGATCATTTCTGTACCAACGGCGATCCCGTAGGACTTACCGTTACCGAGATATAAAATTTTTATACCAACGCAGATACTTTCGAAAATTCGATTTAATCGATTTTCGAGATTAACATGTTGTTTGGCTACTTAAATCAATATTTAGGAATGATGCAACCTTACGCCAAGGTGATTAGTTGTTCGGTGAGTCAATTGCATATGTAATCTAAATTTCAAGCATCTTCGCGATGCCCGTTAAATACGATCAAATTTCTTGTTGCTCTTTAACAATAACCATGGAGAAAAAATCGCGAACACGCTTCGCTTAAGAACGACATGTTTATTCTCATTATTTCTTCCACCTGTGTTTCTTATTCATCTTACACGACCAACATAATTCACATCCTTCCAGTGATATCGAGTATTCATAAAATTCTAAGGATATTTACCAACAAAAGATTATATCCGCACCTGCTGTTTTGGGTCTAATTCCCTCCCTATTATATTCCACGGCTACTTTAAAAGTAGGATTGTCGTTTTTATAAACGTAAAGCTTCCGCCCCGGTCTGACGACCCGAGGTATTTAAGGCTTTGTCTCGTAAAATGTGAAAATTTCGGCCCTTTCTCTTCAACGTTAAAATAATCCTTAGCCAACAAATTTCTGAATTAATGGGCGGATTTATATGTATTATATACTGGGTGCCCCATAATTAATTGTACACGACAAAATAAGAGATTGAAGGAGATTTTTTTGCTTCCGTTCGTTTTCCACTCATTTAATGTTTTACCTATGATTTCAGCGTTGGCCACATTAAAATCAATATCTAGTTGAAGTGAAAGATATGGTCTGTTCATAGATATAAGAAAGTGACCAATTGCTTTTGAATGGGATTATCGAAGGGTGGTCATTAACATACAATGCAACAAGATTATTACCTATAGTTTCGGAATTTAAATTCAGGTAAAATTGTGATCCGTAATAGACACCTACCTGTGTTTAATATTCTTTGGTTTGCTATACTACTTAGTTTAAGTTTATTAGTAATCATTCTTATTTCGTGTGTAATACAGCGTGTGTTGAATCGTGTGCGAATTATGCAAAATATGTGCGAGTCTAGTGTATCTCAGGAGATGCTCCCGCCCAAATGTAGAAAACACTATTCTATTGAGACTAAGGAAGTTATAAACAATGTTTATTTGATTCTCATTGAACGTGGTGGCACCAAGCAAGCATCTTTAGAAGAAACGGCCACATTGACGAAAATTCCAACATCAACTGTATGGAAAATTGTAAAGAATCTCATTTCAGCGAGGAAAAAAAGAAGCGATGCTGACATTTTCTCGAGTGTAGATGAAGGTGATCAAGATATAATACGGCGTAAAATTTACCAGTTATACGAGGAACAAAGCGTGCCTACATTAGATCTCTTAATTATGAGGCTTGAAACCGGTGTTAAATTTGGCAGAACTACTTTACTTTACTTGACTCAACTGATAAGTGTAAAACAAACGCGCCATCAAAAAGAGGTAAAAGAATAACTATTTTGCATTTGCAGTTCGTTTTGGCCTCAAGCTTTGGTGGCTTTGTTCATCTGAGGGGTACCTGTTTTATTCACTTCCATATGGTGGTGCTCAAAATAAACTCCATTCTGACCTTGGTCTTGGCGGAGACGTCATGAGTTTACTTTCTCTTGTAGATAAGCCAGTAAATCACCAAATTTTTTTTTACAAATTTACAAAACTAATGTTTATTTTGCGACCGGTACTATCCGGGAAAATAAAACAAATAAATGTCCAATGGAAAATTATAAATCATTTGGAAAAAAAGACCGCGGATCCTATCTTATGAATCTGAATCAACAATTTCTATTGTCCGTTGGCACGACAATTCAGTTGTAACTGTGGAAAGTAATGTTTCTAGTGTAGATAATGCCCAAAATGTAAAACGGTATAATAGAAAAGAACGGAAAGATGTAAATATACCCCAACCTTATGTAATTGCCCAATGCAATGGATATATGGGTGGGGTGGATTTACATGGTATTTGGAAAAAATGGTGGGGGCCTTTATTTTGTAACTCACTGGATAGTTCAGTAGTGAATGCAATAAAATTGTATAATATTGTCAACGAACAAAAGATTTCCCAGGTAGATTTTAAATCTTACATTGCTTTTAAAAACTGATAAAACAATTCCTCAAAGAACTCTTGCACCTACCATACATGAAGTGCGTTATGATAATCAAGGTCACCTTATGATTTTTTCATGCTAATAAAGCCCGAAAGAGATGTTGAATCTGCCACAGCCACACAATTTACGTTTGTAATAAGTGTAATGTGCATTTACATACATCATGCTTTGTAAAATATCACCAAAAATGAAACCGGGTGTTACCAGTGGTGCGCTCACGCACCATAAAATATTATGCATTTTTTTGTATCAAATCAGGTTCTATTTGGAAAACAATCGACTTTTAGTTGTTTTCTGTTGAATTTGAACTTTCTTTTGTATATTTATGTATAATTTATATGTTACATCTTGTGTGCCCCAAAACATTATTTAATGTTTTTTCCCAATGGTTCGTTTACGTTCGTATTTTTTTGTGTGTTTCGAGATTTGTTTTTTCGCACATGTAATGTATTCTCAAGTGCAACAAAATAAATAATTTTAGAGGAAAAAAGTATTTTTCATTTTTTTTTATGCTTGGGATAACATGAGTTAATTTAATTTTTAAAAAAATCGACGCTGGATAGCGAGAACAGGCGAAAAACGCCAACCAGGAACGGTTTGCCGGCATCGCGGACATTTGGCAACGTCGCCCGATGAATACAGAGATCCCATTCTCAAGGTAGATATGGTCGGTCTAGTGTGCCGGTCCGCCGGGACCAACAAAACAAAAATTTCACCCGCCTTCTCGGTCGTTCGATCGTCTACTTCAGTTCGTTCGCTTCTTTCGGGACGGCAAGGAGAGCCGAACTCAGTCTGTTGAGGCACGCGCGCACGTTGTCATCGTGGTCGATCTCGATCGGTTTTTTATAACAGAAAAGTTAAACGTGGTACCGTCGGATCTCGCGAGGTTAGTTTCGAAAGTTGACGTGAAGTTTTCGCGACAAAAACCGCCCACGTGAAAACCCACAAACACTCGGGGTTTATTTATTTGCACGAACTGTTTATTTGTTCGATTCCTTTCCCGAATGGAGTGCGAGAGTTTTAGCTCGTTGACCGACGATTGTTGAGGATGTTACGTTACACTTGTTCAGCTTAGTAAGTTTTATATCTCGTCCCGCAGCCGTATATAGGTTAGACCGGAGATAATAGTAACGTTTTAACTTTGTGTGCATAGCATTAGCACTTCTTTTTCTAGAAACTATTCATCTGAACCAACAAACAAACATGCTATGGGGAAGAGAATTTAATGTGCTTTGGTATGAGTTTAAATCTGTCAAGAGTGCTGATCTTTTATATGCGTAGCTACGGTTAAACAAAAGAAACGTGTTATAGTGATAGTAACAAACTTGTTATAGAGTTAAATTGGAACTGGAATGGTCACATTATTCGTTTTTAACCATTTGGATTGCGTTTTATTGTGTTTGCTTGATGCATACCACACCGCAAAAATCAAAACCAAAAAGTTATCGCTTTAATCGAAAGTTGCAGTCAACTGCAATTGGTCCAGCTCATCGACAAGCACCCCTACGCTTTGCAGGGGATCATGTGAATTGGACATTGGACCAATGGGGGTCTCTTCTGTTCCCAGATGAGACCAGAATATTCCTTTTGGTAGTGACCTACGAAAAAAAGTGTACTGAAGGCCAGGAGAGCGATTTGCAGTATGCTGCAATGAAGAGCGGAACCCTAATAGAGGTAGTTCCTGCATGACATGGTTGCAATGTCAAGTGGCAGGAGCTTCAACAGGTGCTAGGCATCGTCTGTTCATAGATATAAGAAAATGGCCAATTGCTTTTGAATGGGATTATCCAAGGGTGGTCATTAACCTACAATGCAACAACATTATTACCTAAAGTTTCGGAATTTAAATTCAGGTAAAATTGTGGTCCGTAATAGAAAATAAGTTTATACCTACCTGTCTTCAATATTCTTTGGTTTGGTATACTACTTAGTTTAAGTTTATTAGTAATCATTCTTATTTCGTGTGTAATACAGCGTAATGTTCAATCGTGTGCGAATTATGCAAAATATGTGCGAGTCTAGTGTATCTCAGGAGATGTTCCCGCCCAAATGTAGAAAACACTATTCTATTGACACTATGGAAGTTATAAACAATGTTTATTTGACTCTCATTCAACGTGGTGCCAGCAAGCAAGCATCTTTAGAAAAAACGACCACATTGACGAAAATTCTAACATCAACTGTATGGAAAATTGTGAATAATCCCATTTCAGCGAGGAAAAAAAGAAGTGATGCTTACATTTTCTCTAGTGTAGATGAAAGTGATCAAGATATAATACGGCGTAAAATTTACCAGGCGAAAAATATTAAAGATTCTTCTCTAGATTACCATGAAGACACCACCGCTGATTTATTTGAAAGTGGGTTTATAAACAAACTAGTTCCAAACATTCCTCCTAATAGTGTCATTGTAATGGACAATGCAAGTTATCACAGTAGACAGTTGACTAAAACCCCTTCCTTATGTGACAAAAAAGCAACAATCCAAAACTACATGTACAATAATGACATTTATTTTCACGAAGATTATACCAAAAAGCAATTAATTGAGGTTCTACAAAGGTTGAACCTACAAAAGGAATACGTCTGTGATAATTATGCAAAAAATTTAAGCCATACAGTTTTAAGGCTTCCATCTTACCACTGTATATTTAATCCCATTGAACATGTTTGGCACCAACTGAAATTTGCCATTCGTCGTAACAATGTTTTTCCCCGTGTTAACTCCAATGTCCTCAAACTTATAGAAAAAGAAGTTTTTAACATCGCTCCACAAAGTTGGGCTGATTCTGTTAAACATATAGAAAAAGCAGAACAATAGTATATCCATATTGAAAATAATATAGAACAAATAATAATTAGAACAGGCGATGATAGCGATAGTGATACTGATATATTATGTCAATAATTTTAAGTAATTAAGTAGGTGATAAAAATAATTTGTAATATTATATTAGATTTAAACATAAATACATACATACATAAATAAATATTGTTTAGTATCTTTCCTAACAAAACCCCAAATAATTAAATTCTAAGCAAAGTACGGACCTGTTCGGCCATATTTCATTCTTACAGCTTGCCCGGGTCTTTCCTTAAATCGTATCAGTTAGTCACTTTCTTATATGTTAACTTAAGAGATGGCGTAATGGTTTCCACCCTATACGGAATAAAACTCTCCCCAAAAACCAAAGCACTGTTCTATTTGACCACCTATTACAACATTGCCTTCTTCGGCCTATATCGTACTCCCGTTCGTTCTTGCGTAGCCGGAACAGCATGCCGCTCGTCCGTCCTGACTCAGCAGACGTGACTCTTGGCGGCCATAGAAAACATATCGCTAACATATCTATGAACAGACTTTACATGGAGGATATTTTATCAGATCACGTGATACCATATGTCGACTACATTGGAGAACAATTCATTCTTATGCATAACAATACTAGGCCGGCCACCGCAAGTATCGTGCAAGATTACATTACAGAAGTCGGTTTTCGAGTTATGGAGTGGCCAGCATGCAGTCCTGACCTCAATCTGATCGAATATTTATGGGATGAGCTAAAACGTAGAATTCGAGCTAGACTTCATACCCCAACCTCGATCTCAGAGCCTATTGTCGCAGTAGAGGAAGAGTGGCTTAACATTCCACAAGAAACAATAGCGAACTTGATTACATCTATGACTAATCGAGTAAGATATCTTAAAATAAGTGTTTAGTTGCCGATTGTCAAAAACCCTATTTGTTTTTGGTAATAAAAAAAAGTTAATTTGACTCGTGCGGTTACCTAAAAATCAGAAATAAATTTTAATCAATTTAAACGCGTATTGAAGCATATTAAATTGTCTTTCAAACTGCATTTTTTATCTGATCAGTAGTTTTTGAAAAAAAAAAGTTCACAATGGGCCGATTTCTATACACGCAAGTTTATAACTGGAGAAGTATCAGGTATTTCCGAATTATTTTCGTTTATTAATATAGGGGGAGAGATTAAAATCAAGAGTAGATTGCTTTAAATTTAAAATCATTTAAATCAAACTCCTGATTTTTTAAATATTTTTTTATCAAGTCCAACACAAAAAGCACAACGTTAAAATATTATCACAAATAAAAGGTAAAACGCAACTCTTTAAAAAAATAATAATATGCATTTTCGTTGTATGGTTTGAACAAACATTATATCTGAGTGTACAAAACCAAAAATGTCGAACGTTGGTCCTACTGACCCTGAGGAAGCAGTTCACACGGGAACTGTTTTATTATTGATAGCTTTTGTGATATCCGCCATTGTATTTCAGCAGAAAACATAATATTTTGAAATAAGCAATAATTTTTGACAAAGGTAATTGTACAATATTCTCGGAGATATATTGTAAATGTTTCCGCTGTTTTACAGCATCTGAGATAGCAACTGATATTGGTTTTAAAATGCTTAAATATTCTTCTGCTGCATGTTCAAACCCAAGGCTTGACACCTTTAAATGATCGAATCAATTTGGTTTTTGTTGTCTTCACAACATTCAGCAAAGTTATTTCGTTCTAGCTAGCTGGTTATCGCAAAAATACTTAACAATTTGAACTACATGTTCATTGACGTCTGGTATGTCAGAATTGCTGCGTTATCTCTAACAAAAGATTTAACCTCGAATTGATATTGCAATTTACATGAAGAAATTAGGTCACAAACTACTTCAGTCAAATATTGTGAAGTATGAGGTTTTTGAGACGTCAATAAGTAGTTTTGTAAAAAATAGTTCGTCTATCTTCAGTTGTTATTGTTGTACATTGACACCCGGCAATGGACTGCCTTTTCCTCCTCATAAATGTCATCTAAAAGGGTTGTTCATAACATTTTTCTTGATAAGTGAATAGCTTTTTATACTTCAGAGTCTTCAATGCACCGAAGACTCGAATTATTATCAAAAATTGCCTTGAACTGAGGTGGCTTTTACTTGATGAAAATCCATTTATCAAAATAAATAAGAACTAAAAGTTCAGATTTTCATGAAATTTGTATTTTCATATGACAATTGTTTCGACAACACCGTGTCGTTGTCGAAACAATTGACATGTGAAAATATATAATTTCGTGAAAATCTGAACTTTTAATCCTTATTTATTTTAAAAAATTGCCTTTTCTATTTGTTTGTCAATCTCTTCTTTTTCAACTGTAGGCTCAGTTTTTTTCTTTTTCCTTGTTTGGACCAGATCTGTAGCGAGTGTCGTGGCAGATGATGTAGTAGCAAGATCTACAGAACTGTCAAGCGACTTTCGATTGCCTAAAAAGGAAATATTAAAAACATAATTTATAAATTTATACCATTGTCAATAAATGGTAAACCAAATACGCGATGATTTGTCCTTTAAAAAATTAGCAAAGGGTTTACTGGATTTTATTAAATATATACGTTTAACTTTTCTTTTAAATACGTTGAAAATCGTGTACATTCTTTCCTAAGATAAAGAAATTATTCGATATGAATACTTTTTTTATGTACCTTTTTATGTATCGTAAAAAATAGAAATAAGTATCTAAAAATTATAAACCTTAACATAAATAAAATATGCATGAATTCGAATGTTTCAGCAAAAAAATTGACAAGTTTATTTTTCTCAAAAACTAGTACAAATTTCGTACCTAATGACGAAAAGACTCAAAATCAAGCGAACAATTAATTTTTTAACAAATATTCATAGCATTTCTTTTAAAAAGTAAAGTTGGTTGCTGTCCTGGCACAACAACACTCTGTATACATAAAAATACTATCAATAAAATCTCGAAACACTTTTTGTATTTAATTTTTGTACTTCAGCGTCGCACTTACTGAGATTAGATTTAGGAGCACCTTAAGTGTATATTAAAAATTGCGCAAAACTGGTTTTGCTTATTTTGCAATAACCGTACAAAATTAATGTTTCGCGTTTGGGAAAATTTCCCGCTCAAAACTAGATTCGCGTATTTTTTCCGGGCATTGTCCTAATTCGACCGTTTTCCTATTAGTCCAGTCGTATTATGAATTTCACTTCGGAATGAAGAATAATAAACCTTTTGTTTTGTTGTTCTAAACGTTGT